CCCACTGCAATTTCCCCAAATTATTCGGGTGTGACTTAGCCCATAGAGGTTTTTCTGTTGTGAGTCCTTTCCAAGGATTGAGCCAGGTTGATGCCTGCCCTGGGTTGCTTAAAGTATTTGGAATCCTATATACCTTCTGAAAAATAAATGGGAAGCATGGGCCAAACTTTAAAAATAAATATTCCAGATGAAAACAAATTGATAACCATACCCAGATGTTAATTCAATGAATGCATCTCATGTAATGCCATTGGAATGGCAAATGCCAAGTTTTGGGCGGCTAAAGCCGGGGAATTTTTAAAGTCTTCCTGACTCCAGTTAAAAGCCACATGTCCTTTGTTGGTGAGGTCCTGCTTCTTTTAGTTGCCATATTTAAATAGACAAGTCTCCAAGCAGTCTACGAAAAGTCATTATAAGCACATTGCAGAATAATTCTAGGAAAGGTACCTCACAGCTTAGTATGAAAATGCAAAGACAAAAAAGGCGTGCAAGCCAAAACTTCACCCTGAAAGCAATTTGGGCAGGGATGGCGGGTTGGAAGAGAGGGGAGTTAATGCTATTTAATTTTTTCTTGATTTATTTAAAAGAAATAAACATTCCTTTAATTCATATTTACTCTAAATGACTAACTAAACATAAGAACAGTAACTTCAAAGGAATGTTTACACATCTAATTTAAAAAAATTTTTTTTAGCTTTATTGAGATATAGCTCTTATAACATTGTGTAAGTTAAGGTATACTAGTACAATGTGAAGATTTGATATACATATATGTTGTGAAATCTTTTCCATAATAAGTTAGCTAATTAGGTATCCATCACTTCACATAATTACCATTTTGTTGTTATGGTGAGAAAATTAATGCTCTACTATCATAGCAACTTTCAAGTTTACAATCAAGTATTATTAACTGTAGTCACCATTCTGTACCATAAGTTCCCCAGAACTTGTTCATCTTATAAGTTGAGAGTTTATGTCCTTTGACCAACATCTCTACATTTCCCCAGTCCCTCGGCCCCAGCAATCACCATTTTACTCTGTTTCTACAAGTTTCGTTCCTCATGTAAGTGACATTATACAGTATTTCTCTTTCTTCGTATGACTCATTTTACTTAGCATAATGCCCTTAGGGGTCATCTGTATTATCACAGATGGCAAGATTTCCTCCTTTCTCGCGGCTGAATAATATGCAATATATATACACATATACACACATATATATCCATTGATAGATATTCATTGTGAATAATGCTGAAATACACAGAGGGAGATTTCTCTCAAAATAGTGATTTCATTTCCTTTGTATATACAGTGGTCCGCCCAGCCACTGGGGATATGTTCCAAGCCACCCAGGTATGCCTAAAACAGTGCTGGCCTGGGATAGGATGATGCAGGCAAATAGAAGCTGTTCCTCTTTGTTCTTCCTTCCCTTAATGTGCTGTTATTCTCGGTTTGTTTGTTTTGTTCCATTGTGTTGCTGAAGTTTCTTAAGTGGACTCCTGAGCTCTCCCAGAGTTATTTTTGTTGGTGGATTATTGTCTAATTCTTGAGCTTTAGGAGGGTGGGATGGGGAATGGAGGCTGAGGTCTCTTCCTTCATCATCTTGGTGACATCACCACCTAAATGTTTTAAAATAAAAGTCCATAGAGTTATCATTTCTTCTAGTGTTTTTTTGTTTGGTTGTTTGATTGATTGATTTTTTTTTTTTTTAGCTTTTGTCTCCTGTTCATAGTTGACAAGGATAGGAAGGCACTTCAAGGTCCCTCAACTTCTGTGAGCCTCGGTTTTCTCATACCAAAATGAAATGATTGGCCCATAGATGTTTAAGATTCCTTCATTCTGTGATTTCAGTGCAATTTTGGCCCATGGTGGTGAGAACTGGATAAATACTTGTTGAATAATTCTGGATATTTGATCACCTATTCTGACCTCTACCAAGCACAGTAGTTCTGCCATCTAGCAGACCCAGGTTAATATCATGACTCCACAGCTGATTAGTTCTGTAAACTTGAGCAGATTACCCTCTCTGAGTCCTATGTCCATATCTATAATATAGACTTAAAGAGTGCTCACATCATTAGGTTAGTGGAGGGTGAGATGAGGCAGCTACTACAATCAGGCCCTCAACACAATGTCTGATACAGAGCAAGCATGCACCAGTTAGCTGTTATCATATTAATAGGAACATATAAGAAATAATTATCACCAACTCTAGCTCTATGGGAAATCCCCATTACGTTGGGAATTGTGTTCATAGAAAGTTCTGATAGCGCCCTGCCCTAGTTCCTAGAAAATAATTTTCTTCATTATAACTGCTCCTGAATTACTCGTCTGCAACCCACTTTCTCCACCCCAGCCCACCTCCTCCACCCCACTATCACCTGGCCAACTCCTGTGCACCCTACTCCTGCCAGCTTTACATTCTGTCTTTTCCAACTTGGGCTCTTTCACACTTTGCTGGCCCGGTCACTCTTCTCAGGCTTTCTCACTGACATGCGAGCTACTTGACCATCAGGATTTTAACCATCTCATTCACCATTCTGTCCCAAGCACCTAAGCACATAATAGGTGTACAACAAATATTTGTAGAATAAACAAGTAAATAATGCTTCTACTGCTATCAACAAAGTTTGGCCCCAGGTGGATATTTCAACATACAAAGATAGCCAGATCTTAGTCTTTCCCATGATTACAGAAGCTCCTAGGTGAGGATTAGTTGAGATCTTGCCCTTGATTCGGAGAAGAATGGTAGTTTTTCCATTTCCCTACTCTTTTGTATACCCTCTATTGGATATGGCATAGCATTTGTTTGCTCTAATGCACAGCCTGTCTATTTCATCCTTCCATTAAAGAATGAACCAGAGGTTAGATAAGCATTCTAGCTTCAAAGCTTGCCTCCTGGGTTGCAAAGTGATACAGAGGAAATCTAGAAGCCTTTAAGTAATCACTTAGGTGAAACTTATATTGATTTTGTACCATTTGTTAATTGACAAGAGGACTGAGTGTGCTTATCAGCAAAAAAGCAGCTGAGGGTCTTCCTTTACTTTGGCAAGGAAAAAAAATTCAATTTGTCGGTATGACTCTGGTTGTTAAGGCAGATGTTTTCTGAGAATGGACATCATCTTTCTTTGCTTAAAATCACCCATAACTTCTTTTAATCTCTGTGTCTAATAAATCTCCATTCTTTGCAAAATATATTATGAAGGCCATTTATCTGAGAGCTAATTCCAAAGAACACATTTTGGCGTGGCTCATCTTTAATACAATAAATAACTTAAAAAGTAACTTGCCTCTACTAATGTCTTATTTTCAGATGTTATCATCTGGATATATAATATACTAGAGGCCTGGTGCGCAAAAATTGTGCACTTGGAGGGGGGAGGGGGCGGTGTTCCTTAGCCGAGCCTGCACCCTCTCCAATCTGGGACCTCTCGGGGGATGTCTGACTTCCGGTTTAGGCCCGATCCCTGTGGGCCCAAACCGGCAGTTGGACGTCCCTCTCAATCTGGGACTGCTGGCTCCCAACCGCTCGCCTGCCTGCCTGCCTGTCAGCCTGATCACCCCCTAACCACTCCCCTGCCAGCCCAGTTGACACCTAACTGCTCCCCTGCCAACCCAATTGCCCCCAACTGCCCTCCCCTGCTGTCCTGGTCACCCCCAACTGCCCTCTCCTGCAGGCTTGGTCCCCCCCAACTGCCCTCCCTTGCCAGCCTGGTTGCCCCTAACTGCCCTCTACTGCAGGCCTGATCCCTCCCAACTGCCCTCCTTTGCCAGCCTGGTTGCCCCTAACTGCCCTCTACTGCAGGCCTGATCCCTCCCAACTGCCCTCCCCTGCAGGCCTGGTTGCCCCCAACTGTCCTCTACTGCAGGCCTGATCCCTCCCAACTGCCCTCCCCTGCAGGCTGGTCATCCCCAACTGCCCTTCCCTGCTGGCCTGGTCATCCCTAACTGCCCTCCCCTGCTGGCCTGATTGCCCACAACTATCCTCCCCTGCCAGCCATCTTGTGGTGGCCATCTTGTGACCACAGGGAGTGGCCATCATGTGCAAGGGTGTGATGGTCAATTTGCATATTACCTCTTTATTATATAGGATAAGTAGGTTTTATCAAAACTACTAACATGGTTAAGAAAATGTTTATGCAGTGGTAAAATTTAATTTAAGCTCCAGATCTGTTCAACAGTCTGAATGGCGTTGTGAACTTGGAAATAAGAATATGGCTCTTGTCAAGGAAAAAATTACTTCATTCCTTCACTCTCTTAGTTAAGGTACTTATGTTAGGCATGGCATTATAACTGTGGCATCCAATTCATTCATTCATTTATAAATTCTTTCCAAAATTATGCATTGAATATATATGTGTCAGGCACAATTCTAGATGCTGTGAATGAACAAGTCAAATGTGATTCCTGCCATCAGGAAGCTTATATTATGTGATGAAGGAAGATGAAAAATATGGACATGTGAGAAACTCATGTGCTTCAGATTAGATCTTTAAGAGCAACACTAAGGCAAATAGTTAACTTTTCATAAAAAATTATGTAAATATAAACCAATGGAATAATATTTATAGTGTTGCAAGAAAAAAAAACACCTGCCAATGTAGAATATGTAGAATTCTGTGTGCCACCCCCAAATTGTTTTCAAAAATTATGGCAAACTAAAGAGATTTTTTTTTACAAGTTTACTGCAAGGAGGCACATTTTAAATAGCATTGCAATAATCAAAGGATTATAATTTTTTCAGAACTATCAATTATTTCACTCTTCAGGTAAAAGATTATTGAAAACATTAAGTGACTGCCCTAATTAGAAAGATAAATGAATACCTTAAAAATGTGTAAAAAAGAGTAACTGCTAATTTAAACATGAGCTTTCACAAAATTATTCTTGTGCCTAATTCAGACAAGTTAGAGAAACTGGCAAAAAAAAAAAAAAGCAACACATGAATATGTCTTCATTTAAGGACATGCTCTCAAGCTAGTTTAAAGAAAAAAGTCTAATTAGGGTTTCCAGGGTTTTAGGAGTCCATCTTCACTGTAGGTAGCAGTCAGGTTCTGATGAGGATGATGTGCAATACCAATCACATCCTTCTCATGAACTGTCAGAGTTCTCTCCAGTTTGCCAGTTTGACTGTGCCAAAACAGTAGAGCACAGAGTCCTCTCCCACACAGTAAATCCATTCACCACGGGGAGAGAGGGCGCAGCAAACAAAGTCACTGCCTTCTCTCTTACCAGAGCTGAAGCTTCTGCATGTTCATGATGACCACTGTGTTTGATCTGTTGCACACCACAAAGTGCTCTGGGTTTTTAGGAAGCAGGATCACACTGTTGACAGTGATGTCTGTCCCTGCAGTGCTGCCCAGGGATTTAAAGGTATTTGAACATTCTGTGGTCTTCATATTCCATATCTTTACAGTGCCATCAGAGGACGCACTAATAATATAATGTCCATCTTGTGTAAATGTTGCTTCATTAACAAAGGAAGAATGGCCACGAAATTCCTTCAGGGTCTTCCAAGATCTTAAACCATGAATTCTAATTGTCTGGTCAAAAGAGGCACTAAGGATCTGGCTGCTGTCCTTAGAAAAGCTTAGACAGGTGACACCTTTACTGTGTGCCCTTTCAAATCTCCTTAAACACTGTCCACTCTGAATTTTCCATACCTTGATTTTTCCATCTTGAGCCCGGTTGCTAACATTTCTGTATCTCTGCTGAAACACATGCAGAGAACAGCATCATCCATCATCATAAAGTTATCCTGGGCCTGGTATTTAAGATCCTTCCTGATTTTTCCAGTTGTGAAGTCCCATACTTCAATGAATCCATCAACAGACCCAGTGACCAAATACTGACCATCTGGAGAAAATCGAGCACACTCCACATGTGATTTCTGACCAAACTTAATATGCCTGCTCAGCTGTGTAGGAAACTTTTCTTCTTCCACATCTTTGACAGCTGCTTTGCCTCGGAACAAATCTATGGTCATGCCAGGAGGAAGCAACCCCTGGTGCTGCTGCCACTTCAGCGCCTGCCCCAGCAATGCCATGAGGTGAGATGGAGGCACCACACTGACTTCCCCAGCTAAGGCCTGAGCAATTGCTGCTCTTCTCTTCCCTTTGCTACTTCCATCAGGGTGTGCCTCACGAAGATCAAAATGAGACCTGGCCAAGAGGTTCTCCAGATGAATATACCGCTCTGGCTGCGTTTGTTTTAACATGATCATAGGGTCAGTCTGTCTCAGAAGAGACCTGGCAGCCCCCAATTCACGGAGTTCTATCAATTCCAGAACAACCTGTTCATAGAGGTCAATGAGGGTTTTGTCTGGCAATTTCAGAGACTGTATAGCCTGTAAAACTGTGTCCCAGTGGCTGCTATTAATGTCAGCCACGAAACTCTCAATGCTGTCCACAATATTCAGAGAATCCGACCCGCAGCTTGCATGGCCTTGTACTGAATGGGGGTGATATGCTCAAAGCCAGGTGGCAGCACGTCCCAGTATTTGTGGACCTTCTTCTTCTCATGGCGGGGGGGGGGGGGGGGGAGCGAATCCATCCACCCTACTCCTCTTTAGCGACTCTGGTCAAAGGTTTGCTTCATCGCCGCCGGTCCCAGGATGCACTCCGCTGGTCCAGGTTGCGCCTGTCGCGGCTCCGGTGCGGTGCTTGCGGTCCTGGCTGCGTTAGCGGCTGTGGCTGCGCTTGCGGTGCGGGTTCTCCTTGTCTCACTCTTGCTTATTCTGGTTGAGCTGCCGCTGGAATTCGTGGAAGTCCGACATGCCCAGGCGGCCGCGTAAGGGCCCTGTGCAGAGCGCACCTTGCCTTGCTGCCCACCCGCTCTAGCCGCTTCCGCTACTTCCCAGAATTTTTTAAGCACTTGATCTCTGCCTTCTCCTCTTGCTCCTTCCGTCGCTTCTTTTCCTGGAGAATTTCATCGAAGGTCTTTACTTTCCAAGAGTCCAAAGAGGACCACACCAAGACACATCATAATTAAAATGCCAAGAGCAAAAGACAAAGAGAGAATCTTAAAAGCAGCAAGAGAAAAAAAGTCAGTTACCTACAAGGGAGTACCCATACAACTGTCAGCTGATTTCTCAACAGAAACTACGCAGTCAGAAGGGAATGGCAAGAAATATTCAAAGTGATGAATAGCAAGAACCTACAACCAAGATTACTTTATCCAGCAAAGCTATCATTTAGAATTGAAGGTCAGATAAAGAGCTTCACAGATAAGAAAAAGCTAAAGGAATTCATCACCACCAAACCAGTATTATAAATGCTGAAAGGTATTCTTTAAGAAGAGGAAGAAGAAGAAAAAGGTAAAGATACAAATTATGGACTACAAATACACATCTGTCAACAAGTGAATCTAAAAATCAAGTGAATAAATAATCTGATGAACAGAATAAACTGCTGAATATAATAGAATCAGGGGCATAGAAAGGAGTAGACTCACTATTCTTGGGGTGGAGGGGAAGGGATGTGGGTGGTGCGGGAAGAGACTGGACAAAAATCTTAGCCTATGGATGAGGACAGTGTGGGGGTAAGGGCAGAGGGTGGGATGGGAACCAGGTGGAGGGGAGCTATGGGGGGAAAAAAGAGGAACAACTGTAATAATCTGAACAATAAAGATTTAATTAAAAAAAATACCAATTAAAAAAAAACAACAAAAAATAACAACTCATCTTATTATTTTTTTATTGTATTTTGATATTCTATTTCATTTATTTCTGCCTTCCACTTTGAGCTTTTTTGTTTTTGTTTTTTTCTAGTTCCTTAAGCAATGTTAGATCATTTGTTTGAAATCCTTTTTTTTTTTTTTTTTTTTTTTTTTTTTTAGGTAGGCCTGGATTGCTATAAATTTCCCGCCTACTATCACTTTTGCTGCATCCACAAAATTTTGGTACATTATATTTTCATTTGTCTTTGTGTATCTTTTGATTTCTTTCATTTCTTCTTTGCTGTAATAATTGTTTAGTATCATGTAAAAGAATTATACAAATCCTCAATTATAGAAGTAGATCTAAAAGCATTTCTCTCAGTAACTGATAAGTTAAGAGGGCAAAAAGTCAGTATTCCAAAACTGTAGGTTTTTAAATACATATGATGGAACACTCACCAAAATAAAACATACTCTAAAACAAAAAACAAGTTTCAACCAATTACAAAGGATTGAAATAATATATAGTGTATTCTCTGACCTGAGTGGAATGAAACAAGAAATATAATCCGAAAGATAACTTAAAAACCTCTAATTGTTCTGAAATTAGGCAATATGTTTCTACTTAACTCATGAGTTAAAGAAAAAAATTACAGAAAAAAAATAGAAAATATTTGGAAGGGAATAATCGTGAAAATATGATGCATCAAAACACGTCAAATGAAGCTAAAACAGTACTTAAAGGGAAATTTATAGCTTCAAATACAACATTATTTGGGTTGGGGTTTGAATCTTGCAGAAGAGTAGGGTTAATATTAACTATGTGGACCAACTGTCTCCAAGGATGTTTTTGGACAAATGTTTCTGTGGATGTTTTGGAACAGGACTAAACGTCCTACAAGGTTCAACCTTGTTGTGCAGGTTTTATCCAGGAGGAAAAGGTAAGAAAAGAAAAGATATAAAAATAAAAAATGAGCAAGTAAATTGCATATTACTCACACATGACATGATTATGTAGAAGAGTCAAAAGAATCTACCTATTATTAGATTTAACCAACAAATTTGGCATTATTATTAGATACAAAGTCAATATGCAAATACTGATTACATTTCTAAATAGCAGAACAAACTATTGAAAAATAAATTTTAAATAAAGTGCCTTTAACAATAGCATCAAAAAGCATTAAATACTTAGTAATAAACCTAATAAAATGTGTGCCAGATTTCTACACCAAAAAGTACCAAACTTTGCTGAGAAAAACTGAAGAAAGTCATAAATGAGATAGCATGCTCATATATTAAAGACTAAATGTGGTTATTATGCCAGGTCTTTCCAACTGAGCTATAGATTGAATGTAATCTTAATAAAAATCCCAACTTAGAGGCTTTTAAAAGAATATCCAAGTTGAACTTGAAATTTATATGAAAATGCAAAAGACCTAGAATCCTAAGACAGTTTGAAGAACAGATTTGAAAGACTTATATACTACCAAATTTTAAAACTTAAGAAACTGTAAAATTACCATAATTAATCCAGTATGGCATTGCAAAGGATAATCAAATATACCAGGGAACAGAATAGAGAGTCCAGAAATAGACCCTCATCTGTTATAACTGAGTTATAACAAAGGTAGCTCTATAACTCAGTAAGGCAGTGATTTTCAACCTTTTTCATCTCATGGCACACATACACTAATTACTAAAATTCTGTGGCACACCAAAAATTAATACATGTTTTTCCAATTTGACAAAAAAAAATAGGTATAATTTTCATTCATTCACACTGGACAACTATTGTTGTGTTGGCTGTTGTCATGTTTTTATTTGACAATCTAAAAGAAAAGAGGTCTGTTGCCTCTTACTAAATAGTCCTGTATTACATGTTTTAAAAATACTTGCGGCACAGCAGTTGAAATTCGCTGCAGTAGGGAAATAGTATTGAATACTCTTTTCAATAAATAGTAATGAAGCAATTGGATATATGGGTAGACTTGTATGTAGTTTACGCCATACACAAAATGTATGTGAAATGAACCACAGAATTAAGTATGAGAAGTAAAACAATTAAGCTCCCAGAAAAGAAAAGGAAAGAACCTTTATTTTTATGAAGTTCAAGAACTCATAAAACTAATGATAGTGATAGAAGTTGGAGAGTGGATTAGGAAGGGGTGGGGGTGCTAGAATTATTTGTTCCAGATCCTGATTTGGTGGTTATAAGTGTTTATGCATACGTACAACTCATTATGCTTACACTTTGATGAGGGTAGTTTACTCAATAAAAAAGTAGAAATAAAAATTAACAAATGCATCAAAAAAGAAATCTCAATGGAAATGAGAAAATATTTTGATGTTTGTCCTCTTCTCACCTCCTGTTTCCACACACCAACCCCAGGTGGACCCTTGTCCGTTCCTTTTCTCCATACTGACCAAAAAAAAACCGCACACTTAAAAATCATTTAAATGACTAAGTCTAAGTTTCTGTGAGAATTCCCCTTGGTTTTAACTCTAAATAAACTCAAAAAGTTCTCATATAATCTAATAACTTGGCAAAACTTCAAAATTATATTCTTTCTGATTGGTGTTTGAGGTTTCTTAGGATATATTCCTAGAAGTGAGATTGCTGGGTCAAATGACAGTTCCATTTTTAAGTTTTTGAGGAAACTCCATATTGCACCCTTATGTTCATAGCAGCATAATTTACAATAGCTAAGATCTGGAAGCAGCCCAAGTGTCCATTAGTAGATGAGTGAATAAAAAAGCTGTGATACATTTACACAATGGAATACTATGTAGCAGTAAAAATGAAGGATCTCTTACCCTTTGAGATAGCATGGAGGGACCTGGAGAGTATTATGCTAAGTGAATTAAGCCAGTCAGAGAAAGAGACAAGTATCACATGATCTCACTCATATGTGAAATCTGATGAACAAAATAGATCCAGAGACATAGAAGCATGGAACAGACTGATGAATCTGAGGGAAGGGAGAGAGGGGGTGGGAAGAGATTAACCACAGAATTTATATGCATATATGCCTAACCCATGGATACAAGCAATAGTTCAGTGAAGGCCTGAGGGGGTGATTGCAGGGTCTAGGGCAGTGGTTCTCAACCTTCTGGCCCTTTAAATATAGTTCCTCATGTTGTGACCCAACCATAAAATTATTTTCATTGCTACTTCATAACTGTAATGTTGCTACTGTTATGAATCGTAATGTAAATATCTGATATGCAGGATGGTCTTAGGCAACCCCTGTGAAAGGGTCGTTCGACCGTCAAAGGGGTCGCGACCCACAGATTGAGAACCATTGGTCTAGGGGTTCAATGGGGAAAAAGGAGACATCTGTAATACTTTAAACAACAAATATACATTTTTTAAAAATTCAAAATTATATTAACACTGATGAGAAAGCTCCTGAATAAAATATTGACATCAAACAGAAGCAAAATTGCTTGGCAGTTTAATCACTGTAACATATTGTGGGAGTAATACAGTCACTGTGCTAAGCCTAAGGAAGTCCATAAAAATGAGATGCAGCCTTTTCAGTGGGTTCACACTCTAATATAATAATAACCAAGGATTATATGGCAATTCTTATGTGCAAAGAATATCCTAAGTGCTTTACCTATATTATTTTATTCTCCCAAGAAGCTAATAAGGTTGATTATTGTTGGGGTCCAACCCCAGCAGTTCAGGGGTTCCCAAAGGTGTGGACGGAGTCAGCAAAGAAGGAATGACATGGAGATAGCGTTCAGTTGATCAGCATAGCCAGGTTCTCCAACCAGGTTCTGTCTTTATTGTCCTGTTCCATCTGTATTTATACCAGTTGATTTTAATCCTATCCATTCTATTCCAAAGGTTAGGGCATTTGTTAATCTAGTTCTGTTGAGTTTAATCCTGTCTAGGTTAATCTCTGTGTTCCATTATAAGGGCTATCCCAAGGTCACTGCTCTACTGATAAGCTAGAAGGAAGTGACTGAAGGAAATTATCCTACCCAGTAAAGGTTATGTCCTCCCAGCCTCGCTGTTTGCCTTCCCTGGGACTGCCCTGTGTCGGTGGGTCTCCAGGGGTACAGGCTTTGGTGCCTTCCCTGGTGGGCAGACCCCTGAGGATGTGGGCCCAACAAGTCCCAAATTTATTGCCAACAGTCTTAGTCCAAGTTCTTTATAAGTAGTACCTGGTATTTCTGTAACACTAGGGGGTTTCACTGATTTATTCTCTTCCTTAGGCCTGTTAATCCCTAACTCCAGGGGAAAAATCCTCACATGGGGAAACAGCCTTTCTCGGAGAGGTAACCTTGGTTAAAACACATAGCGCTAAGAGGGGGAGCAAACATATTAAGAACAGTATGCCATATAAGCCAGGTCCCTTGAAACATATGCTGTGCAGATGTTTCTTCCCTGCAGCGTCTGTGTCAAGCAGCAAGGATGGACCGGCTTCCGGCAGATTATCATCGCCCATTTTGCAGATGACAAAACTGAGGCGCTGAGAGGCTAAAAAACTTATCCAAGATCACACAGCTAACAAATGGTAGAGATGTGAATGGAACACAGCATTCTGGTGCTATTCCATGATTTTCACTCCATTTTGTCCTCTTTGAGAATGAGCACTCCTTCTCCCTTAGGGTTGGTTAGGAATATATGTGGGGAAAGTATTCTCTGGAGCTCCTTAAAAGCCCAAGAGCAGCCCACGCTGGGGGCCTTGTGCAGCCTCGAAAGGGATTGCCAACTCACCCCTTCCCTGGAGGCCTGGTCTGTAGGAGGTGGTCGCTGGGTCCCTACTTAACCTCTAAAATAGAATGGTATTCCTGAGCCATGCATCCTGTCCACCTCAGGTTTAGAAGTCATGTTTCATCCACATGAAGCAGTTTCTTATTAGAACCTCAGCCCTGTAGCATGCAGGGTAGCTAACGAAGAGGTTTTCCCCAGGGAATTTCTGGGGGAGGCTGGAAATCAAATCTCCCATCCTCCAGCACACCAGCACCACTGGCAGCATTTGCAAAATTCCCAGTAATTAGGTTAATTTGCCAATACTGCAGATTCAGGGAGCTTTTCAAACTTGATTTTATTTTGCTGTGTATGCATTATTTCCTCATCAGTGCTGTGGTTGAATTTATTTTTCTCAATTTTACACAGGGCTTTTCCCTGAGCAATTGGAGAGGTACTCCCTAAATGAGAGCTTTTTGTTCATCTTTGATTTTTAAAAAGTGACTTCTATTTGACATGCAACATTGTGTAAATTTAAGATGTACAACATGCTGATTTGATACATTTATACTGCACTATGAGTGCCATTGTATTACCTAACACCACTATTATATCATGTAATTATCATTTCTTATAGTGTTGGGAACAATTAAAATCTAGTCTCTTAGCAAATATAATGTTTATAATTTTATTGTCTATACTCACTGTATTAGATTTTTAGGACTTAATTATCTACTAGTTGCATCTTTGATTTTTGGTACAGGACTTTGTTCTTTAAGGTGGTCAGCACTTTTCCTACTGGGGAGCATGGAACCGGGAGAGAGGAAGAAGCACCTAGAATTCTCCTTAGAGGTAGAGACAGGGAAAGAGGCTACAAACATACATCAACTACTGATTTTTTTTGTCCTATTTTGGGGAATGATTGGGAGTGAATCTTAAAAGAACTTTGACTGAATTTCCCACACTGTTTTTTTTATATGTATGTACATAGCACAGGGGCTGCCTGCCTCAGTTTGAACTGTAAGATTGTTCTAGCACTTTAGTCTGTTATTACATTGACAATCCCTCCCCCCCACCCCCACCCCGCATCCACCTCCCGGTCAGAGACCCCCAGGAATCCACCTGTTGGGGAAGAAAGTTCGGGTTTATCCATTTGTTCCACTGAGGGCGACCTCACTCCATGGGGAATTGCGGGGTATCTCAGCAAGGGGGTGTTATAAAGGACTTACTACAGAATTGGGGCTTGTGTTAGGTGACTTGGGTGCTGGTTCAAGGAAGCAGGGGTTTATTGCCGATTAGATGTTATCAAGAAGCAGAGGTAACTCTATCACTGGCTGTTAGTCCTCTCTGGAAGGCACAGAAGTATAACCTCACATGCTTCAGTCATGTACCCAGCTAGCCCCTGCTGCACAGGACCAGAGTCTGAAAACATCATGGAAAAGAGTCTCTTTACTCACTTATTTTTGGAGGTCCTTTCAGATAACCCTAATTTCAACTCTTGTCCTGTAAATAGAAAGTTAAATGCTGCTATTTTCTTAGTCCAATGAGACTCATCGTGCAACGAAGTATCTAGCTTTTTATGTAGTGTCTTTCCTATTTTTAAATTTTGAAAGCCGTGCCAGAAAGTGATAAATTGTCATCGCAGGCCTGACCACAGTTTGCCTCCAGAAGCAATTTCATGGCTTACTGGGTAAGTTTGTGGTCGGCTGGAGAGTAAATGAATTGCTTGAGCTAGGGCTCATTTCTCAGGGCTTGTCCATTTCAGAAAGCTGTGTGACTTTTCGGTCACCTTGAGCACATTGGCCCAACTAAATGTACAGTTCATTTTCATCTGTCACCTCGGTATATCTCCCTTTGAGTTGAATATTTGTTTGCGAAATTTTCCTTTTGTATTTACTTTGTTTACGATACAGATCCTTTAAACACCAGACTGCCAACTTAATTCTCCTCAGCACAGGGTCACCCTTTCGCAAAAATACACATTATGCTTTCTGCAAATAGATTGTAATTGGGTGGTGTGCACCACACAGCTCTTGACCTCCTCTTGAACTCAACGATCAGAGTGACTTTGCCAAGGTTGCCCGGCACAGCTCTGTTATCCCGAGACGCCTGGCCTTTGGGGGAAACTGGTTCTTAGGAGGTGTCATGCATCTGTCACCTCCTGTCCTCAAAGGATTGTCAGCCAGATGCAGTCCCCTCAACAGCTTCCCTGGGCTCATCAGTGGACTTAGAGGCAGAAGGCAACAGTATCTCTTAAACTCCTGTATATGCTCTCATGGTTTGAAGGATGCTAAACACTTTGGCATTTTTTAAATAACAGACTAAGAAGATTTCGTAATTCTCTTATCGTTAGCGCTTTCACCGATAAATCTATCCTGTGTGACACCAGATGATTCCTCCTGGCTTCTCAGTGAGATTCCTTTCTAAAACTGTAAGGATTGCAGTTACGACCAGGTCCTGATGAATATTGCAGGTCAGAGCTGCTTGGCACACACACTTGGCTTTCTCAGATCCTCAGGGCTTTGTAACTAACGCCAGAGCTCATCTAGCGTCCAGCTTTCAGGAGAAATGGAAAAGAGCCCACAGGCATGAGTCGTAGGAGAGGTCCTGAGCCTTCCATGCTCTGAGGGCTCCACAGCATCTTCAGTGTGAAGCTGAAAGACTCATTATACAAAGGGACCAGTCAGCCCACATACAAAGATAGAACTTGGACCCA